CCAAACTCGCGTTGGTTCTGCACTTCCGCTACTTATCCTTAGGTTCATACGAGTCGTCACTCTTATCCTCACCCCAGAGCAGAACTGTACGATAGCTCTCGTGATTGTATATGTCATCAACATGTGGCCCCCCTCGTAGTGCCGACGGCCCCGCCACGATCTCAACTACTCAAGGCTGTTGTTACTTGTACCTATCAAGTTACTCTAGAGGACATAGAGACACTTCAAGACCTGCAACTCTTGTCCATATGCGCATGTGAGAGCTCTAGGAACTTTCCCTTAGGGCTTTCTCCACTCGCATCTCTTTGGCCATCTCTAACACATTTGCAACTCTGGGCTTTATTCTTCCCTATATGCAGGACCGCGGTACTTCATTTCCCCCAATTACATACACTCTCCTTCACATAACCGAGGTTTCGATCAGAAGTTGAACATTCTTATCCTTATTTCAGTCATTGGACTTTACCTTCCTTAATATACCTTGAAATCACCGGGAGTTTCCTTTCACCTCCTCTCGGTTATGAGGAAGATGTCGCCCGGTTCTTACGCAAAGTGGGTTCTAACCTACGTGGGTTGGTGCTCGATGTCCACGCCATTCCTCAGCCGAATGCGGATCCGGTGTCTCTCCCATCGAGCATTTGGACTCATTTCGTTCGACTGGAGACCGTTTGTATAAAGCTCAGTGCGATAGATCTCGTCCCCTTCTCTATCATGTCCAATATTTCGGTCATATTTCTGGATTTTGGCCTATCTCGGGGATTTACGCTCGAGGCGGATACCTTTATAAACATATATCGAACAAGGAAATGGAAAGTCGCGGGTTTTGGGATGCCTCTCAGATAGCCCAAACCTCGACGAAACCTTGCAGACAAATCTCCACAAGGCTCTCAATATATAGCTTTCGTTTACCGTTTCTTCGAGATGATACGGTGGGGAGGTCATGCATTCGGCGACCGAAACGGGTTAAATTTCGAGTGTGCGCAGGCAAGAGAAGTCATAAATGAGTTACATGCCTACATCTCGACGGACGAATGCCGGGAACGAATGGAATGGGACTCGAGGAATCTCCTTTGTTACTACATGTGGCCTCTGGAGAGTGAGGAGAAGGAAGATGAAGCAGAGTTTACGGACGGAGACGATGGAAGTGAGACAGATAGTTCGAACGAGGTCGAAGTAGACGAGAGCGAGACGAC